TCAGTTATATTTCTGTAACACTAGCAATGAAAAATCTGAAATTTTTTAAAGTTCCATTTACATAGCTTCAAAAAGAATAAAATTGTTACAAGTAAAATCAACAAAAAGAGTTCATGACTTATATGCTGAAAATGACAAAATTTCACTGAAAGAAATTAAAGGCTTAATAAATGAGAAGATATCCTATGTCATGGATTGAAAAACCTGATATTGTTAAGATGGCAATACTCCCCAAACTGATCTTCACAGTCAGTGCAATTCCTATAAAAATCCCAGCCTGTCTTTTTTATTTTTTAACAGAAATGGACAGTTTATTCTAAAATTTAGATAGAAATGCAAGAGACTCAGATAGCTCAAACAATCTTGGAAAACAACAAAAATGAAGGACACACATTTACCAATTTCAAAACTTACTACAAAGCTGTAGTATTCAAAACAGTGTGGTACTGGCATAAGGAAGGACATATAGGACACTAGCTGACATTTGAAAGTACAGAAATAAACATTTACAGTCAACTGATTTTCAACAAGGGTTCCAAGAATATTCAACGCAGAAAGGTAAACCTGCACAACAAACTATGCTGGGACAACTGGATATCTATATGCAATAGAATGAAGATGGACCAACTATCTAACACCATATACAAAAATTAATTCCAAGTGGTCAAAGGCCTGAATTTAAAACTATGAAACTCTTAGAAGAAAACATTAAAGAAGACAGACATAAATATTATAACCTCGGATTAGTCAACAGTTTGCCTAAGATATCCAAGGATAACCCATGGAATAGGAGGAAATATTTGCAAATCATATATCTGATACAGGACTAGGATCCAGAATATAAAAGACTTCTTGTAGCTCAACAGTAAAAAGACAAATATCAGTATTGAAAAATGAGTAAATACTTTGGATAGGCATTCTTCAAAGAAGATGTGCAAATGGCCAATAAGCACGCATAAAGATGCCCGAAAGCATTAGGCATTATGGAAATGCAAGCCAAAACCATTATGAGACACCACTACACACCCACTAAGATGTCTATAATCAGAATGTTGAACAAGGACAAGTGTTGGCTAGAATGTGGAGAAGTTGGAATCCTCTTATGCTGCTGATGGGAACATAAAATGGTGTGACTGCTTTTGAAAACAATTCATCAGAAGGTTAAACGGGGTGGGAGGTAGGGAGGATGGTATACCTCAGTGGCAGAGTGCATGCTTAGCATGCATGAGGTCCCGGATTCAATCCCCAGTACTCCATTTAAAAAAAAGGTTTAACAGTGTATCCCTGTTACACTCATGGGACTCTCGTGTACATCCAAGAGAAATGAAAATACATGTCCACCCCAAAACTTGTATGCAAATGCTCGTAGCAGCATTATTCATAATAGTCAGAAAATTGAAACAACACCAATGCCTATCAGTTGATGAATGAATAAGTAACATGTGGTACATCCAAACAATATTATTTGGCCCTAAAAAGGAATGAAGTAATGATATAGGATGGAGTCTAGATGAACACTGAAAAGCTTATGCTAAATGGAAGATTGCAATCACAGAAGACAACCTATTAAATGATTCTATTTATCTAAAATGTTAAGAACTAAAAAGTAAATCAGTGGTTGTCTAGGACCGACGGTTTGAGAGAAAATGAGAAATGACTGCTAATGGATACAAGATTTCTTTTCTAGACGATGAAAATATTCTGAAATAAGATTCCGATGTTTGCACAACTCTGCAAATACACTAAAAGTCACTAGGCTGTACACTTTCAAAGGGTGAATTTTATGTTTAAATTACATCTCGATAAAAATGGAGAGATACGGTGGTTATTAGGAGCTAGCAGTGGATCATTTAAGAATAAATAATACCTTCATAATCTCTTTAACTACCATTTTTTCATAAGTGGGCTAGACAGATAGATCAGAGAAATGACATAAACATAGACAAAGTATCTTGATATAAATAGGTAATTTGACCATATCATTGTTTAGTTATTTATTCAGTAATTCATTTTGCAAATTTACTGAGAATCGGCCTGAAGTACGCTGGCTGTTAGAGATTCATTGATCAATATGACGCAGCTCTTCATGGAACTAGCCTAATTAAGATCTGTTTGGTAAAGTAGGATGGAGAAGCTCAGAGAGGTTCAATAACTGGCCCAATGTCACACAGGTAGTCAGTGACAAAGCAAAGATTTGAACCCGGTTATATTTGGCTCCAATGCCAATGATATTCCATTACTTCACACTTCCAACAGCAGCTTCATTGTAGGCAAGAATAAGAACTAGGTAACAGTGTAATTAAGGAGATTTACAAAGAGTGGAATAACTCTATGCAGAGAATAAACACATTTATGTATGAATTCAAGGACTGATCGCAACCTGGAGGGACATCCCCACAGGGGTCAAAGGGTTCTTCCTATGGATGGATCTTATTTGATAGTCTTATCAACAACACAAATGAAGACACAGAAAGCAGGCTGACCACATTTATAGTTGACACAAAGCTGGAAGTGATAGCTAATATGTTCAAAGAAACATTCAGGATTCAAAGAGATTTCATCAGACTGGAACTCTGGGCTGATGTAATGCAGGATGCAGGGAGAACTGGCTTAACTGGAATTCACATGAAAAAGACTTGGATATTTAATTGAGAGCAAGCTCAATATGATTTAAAGGTGTGAGCCAAAAAAGCTACGGCATTCTTAGCCTGCATTAAAAGAAAATTAGTGTCCAGGAAAAGGGATGGAACTGGACTTCTAGCCACTGCTTTCATCAGACAGACGCTGAAGTATTTTGTTCCGTTGTGTTCCACTAGTGTTAAGAATACTGACAAAGTGGAAGATGTTCAGAGGAGAGAGGTCAGCAGAATGAAACTGTGTCATGTGAAGGACTGGAGATATTTAGTTTAACTTGGAGAACTGACCAGTGCTGTGGAGGTGGGAGAGGGAATAACAGCCATTTTCAAAGACTTGAAAGGATATCTTCAGGCTGATGGTTTAATTTAATTGTTTTCTCTAACAAACAGAACTAGGACCCACACGAAATAGGAAGAGAGATATGCGCTTATAAATTATTTTCAAATAATTGCCGTGGTGGGAAGGGGAATAATCTACCTTGTAATTTAGTGAGCAGTTACTCATGGGAATTATTTACGAAAAGTTTGGATAAACATTTGTACACTGGGGATTCCTGGAACTTCATTGAAGTTTGGACTCAAAGACTTATAAGACTCATTTGAAGTCAAAGATCTAATAGCAATTATAATAATAATCATTATCATGGTATCAGCGAATATGGATTGCAAAAGCTACTATTGTAAATATTCTATGTTTGTTATCATATTTAGCCTTGACAACTACTTGAAATATTTTATTATCTTCATTTTATGGATGAGGAAACAGGGACCTTAGACAGGTAGAGTAATTTTCCTAAGGATGCATGACTTGTGGTGCTATGATTTCAGAGCCTCAGCATTTAACACTTTCTTAAAAACTCTTTTAATCTCTGTTATTGAAAGAGTTGTAATAGATTGATTGTGATTCTGAGATAATTTGGCTCAAATTCCATCTGTTCAGCCTGAACCTATTGGAGGGGATTATATGGTTAGGCATTTGAACAATTCAAGGTCAACAGGAACTCTTATCTTTGTGGAGAGTAAAAGGCTGTCCAGTGGAATTTCAGGATCGACACGTTCAGTGTTTAAAAAAGCAAACAGCTTAGCTCATATTTTCATTCTTGGATTATTTCAAATGAGACAGCGCCAGAGTACACAAAAGCAGATAGCTTGGTTTCAGATTTTCATTCCTGAATTGGGATTTCAATATGCATGCCATGATAGCGGATGCTTACCAAAGAATGGAAGGAGCAAGGGATGGAAATTACCGTATTTACTCTTGTGGTAGGCAGATGACTTTTCTGCAACTTGCATAGTGGTTTTAATTTCCTATAAATAGTGAACCAGTGACTAACAGGTGCTCTCTGATATGTCTGGAAAAACACGTGTTTAATTTCAACATGGAGGTCCCACCACAATTAAGTCTGGAAGAGACGAAGAGCAGTAGTGTTTTGCTTCAATAAATTCTAGTCTAGTTCAGAATATTGGGGGGAATGTCAAATCAGAAATAAATTCATGCATGCATTCATTTTAGGAAACAAACAGATAGATGACTACAGATTTTGATAAGTAGAAGAAAGGCACTGTATATGATGCTATCATAAAAATGAGGGAGAACCTTCTTGGATGAGAAAGGGCACTCTGAGTTGGTGATTTCTAAGCTGTAGCCTGAGCAGTGGGGAAGGGTCTAGAGGAAGAGCATTCTAGGGAGAAGATACAGCAAGCAGAAAGGCTTCAGGGCTAGAAGGAGTTTAATATATTCTAGGCATTCACAGAAGAGGTGGCAATAGTCCAGATAAAGGATGTCTGTATCTTGGGTTAGGATGATAGCAGTGAAAATGGAAACAAATGGATAAACCACAGGGATATTTTAGAAATTGAGATCAGACACAAGAATGAAAACTATACAGATATGCAATATCCTAGGGGTAACATATATGCATAAAAATCTCTCTGGAGCCCCTATCCTCATTCTTTGTAATCTCAAGAAATTGTCAACATGTTTCAGTCTTTTATCAAATAGTCTTGAATAAGCAATTCTTTTCCTTATGAGAGAGAAAGGAATCCTCCTTCAAACAATCCCCAATGTTCATAGCAGCACTATTTACAATAGCCAAGACATGGAAACAGCCTAAATGTCCATCAACAGATGACTGGATAAAGAAGATGTGGTATATTTATACAATGGAATATTATTCAGCCATAAAAATGACAACATAACGCCATTTGCAGCAACATGGATGCTCCTGGAGAATATCATTCTAAGTAAAGTAAGCCAGAAAGAGAAAGAAAAATACCATAAGAGATTGCTCATATGTGGAATCTAAAAAAAAAGAACATAAATATGAAACAGAATCACTTTCTATTAGTTAGAGACTCCCTCCCTCTCTTCCTTCCTTCCTCCTGGCATTCCTTCCCTCTTGCCCACCTGCCTTCCTTCAGTGGAACGGATTACCTGGCTACTTGGTGTCAAGCCCTGGGCTAGCTACTGGGCATGTGGTTATGAGCAAAACAGTCCTGGTTTCTGCCTCCATGAAATTTTCATTTAATTGGGAGGTAATTAACCCAGGACAAAATCATATCTCTTTTACATTTCTGCATTTTTAAAACTAGTAATTACTGAATGCTTATTAACCCCATGCAATATTCTAAACACTTTACAAGTGTTATCTTAATGAATCCTTAAAACAAACACATCCCCCCACCCCAACCCACTGTCCATTCTACCAATGAGGACGCTGAAGTTCAGGGAAGTTGCTGGCCCTAAGTAAGTGGCAGAGCTGAGGTTGGCATCCAGCTCTCTGGAATTCCGAGTTCCAGCTCATAACTGCAGTGCTTTGGAGGTCTCTCTAATTCTGTTTTAAAACTAAACAACTATATAAATAAAAGCGAATGAATGAACAAATAAAATCTTGCTCAAGCATCAGCTGTTTCCAGCTACAGTTGACTCTCTGATCTTCCTTTAGTTGGGTGGAAACCCCCCTTTCTCAGACTGCTCTGGTCTATACGCATTTTAGATCTAGTGCAAGAGAAGTCATAAAATGGAGATCGCCGGGGTAATATCAACAACCTATCAGGGAACCTGAGTCTTGAACTGAACGCCATTCCCTGTCTCCTAATGTGAAGGAAAACAAGGCATTTTTTCCATATTTCCATTGTCTCATTTTAATGGTAACCAGGTTGAAATGCAGAATTGAGTTTTCCATGTTCAGCCACACACATTTCACTATGGTACTATGAACTCTATTTGAGATCCGTAGCTTCATCCCAGGAAGAAATGGTCCACTAGAATCAAAAAATGCAAATGATTGTTCCCCTCTTACTTTCTACCTCCATTTCCACTCCAGGTAGAGTGACTGCAAAGGTGAATCAGGTCATATCCCTCATCAGCACTTTCTCTCCAAAAACTTGCCACTGCACCAGAGTTGAAGATCAACTCGTCACTGAGACCTTCATGGCCCTACATGGCCTGGCATCTCCCATCCTTTCAAACCTCGCCTTGTACCACCCTCTCCCTTGATTACCTCCCTCCAGCCCAAGTATTCTTGGAGTTCTCTCCACCTGAAATTCTCTTTCTTGAATTCCTCCAATAGTTAATACCTTTCCAGGCTTTAGTTCTTTTATTTCTCCTCCTCAGGAAACTCTTCCGTAATTATCATATCTAAAGAAGATCTTTCTTTTCCAATCTGTCCAGTGGATTTTTCCCTGTAAACCACACGGTTATTGTCTGTTTCCTTGCTATTGTCAATACCACGCAACTAGAATGTAAGCTCAATGAGGTGCACAATCTCTCTTGCTCCTTAATATATCTCCAGTGCCTAGAACAGAGCTGATAGAAGCACATAGCTGGCATTAAAAGCCCACATTGAATGCATGAATAAGTGATATTCTTTCCATTATATTATTTAGATATATTTTAAAAACCTATTGGATTTTGAGAAAATACTATTCCATTTGGAATTCATTGAATTTGCTGTTAAATGTACTAATAGGAACTTCAGAGGGACTAGTTGCTGTGATGTGTCACTGTGTTACAGGCTAGAGAACAGTGTTGGGCCAGTCATTGAACAAATTAAATACACTTCTGCACTGTAATGACTTGAAAACTATAGAATGAAATGTGGTGACCTCAGAAGTTTCTGTTGATTGGCAAAGAAACCATTTCTGAGAGATAGGATTTGTGCTAACATATGTGACATATCATTTATCTATATTTGTGGTAAAATCTAGGGTGAAGACGCTCAAATCAAAGTATATTAAATTTATTAAATAAGTGATCATAATTTATATTTTTCCATGTAATTCAATACTATATTTCTGGATTTTTAAAATTACTCTGTCCCCATTAAGAGAACAATACAATTCTTTCCAAGGCAAGTAATAATAAACAGCTTTTTCGAGGTTCCCACTGCAAAAGAGAGATCCTTCTTTATTTCCTTAAGTAATGCACCTTAAAAAAAAAGATTTTAGTAATGCCACACTTCAGCATCATGAAAAGTGTGAAGAAATGGTTGTCCTTGAATCAGAATGGATGGATTCATTTTTTTTTAACTCAGTTTTGGGCTCATGTCATGTTTTCATTATGGTGAGGAGAAAGTTGGTGCAGTATCAGACACGCTAGGCTGCCGTTTCTCTCATCACCCTGTCCCAGACGAGGTAGGGCTGCCGGTTGCAATCTGAGTACTGAACCCGGGACAACAATGCCCATTACTCATCCTCTCAATCAAATATCAATCCGGGAAGTTGATGACTTAGGCCAAAGATGAAAAGATCTGACCAGCTGTTCTTCTCAGGCTCAGTTCTGATCCCTGTGTGAAAAAAGAATACCTTAGAAAAGAAATTGTGAGTCGGAGTGCAATAGTTGCCAAATAGAGAGTCTAGCCCTGTTTATTTTGGAAGCGCCATGTGCATCAGTCTGGCTGTGAGCAAGGTATTCACGTGTGTGCTTCTGCCCAAGAGGGACAGCAAAGTTCCCCCATCTCATCTGAATGGAGATTCCTCTGAGTGAGTTGTTTGACTCCTCTACCCTGTCCCGAGCACCTTCTGAAAAGAAGACTGTCTTTCTTCAAGGTCAATAATCAATGATTAGTAACTGTGAGTGAAACTGAAAACCACAAATCTGGTCAGAATGGCCACCCTTGAGGATCCAAGCTCTGACAGTACAGAGGGATAAACTGTCCTAAGGGTCAGTGTCAGTAGAACATAGCTGTTTAACGAGGGATTAACTGGGAGGCGGCAGGATAGATCTCCAAGCAGGAGCAGGACGCTCCTGGTCTCTGACCAGAGTGTTACCCATCCAACCCACTGCTTTCCCATAGCTTCTTGTCTGTCCCACTTACGTATCAAGTCTAGACGAAACTTTCTTGGCCTTGAAGCCTTTCCAACTTTTCCATTTTGCTGACATTCATAAACGCTAACTAATAATGATTAGGTTCACTGGTCTGACGAGTGGGATGTGAAATGCTTCCATTGCCCTGAGAAAGAATATGGTTTCTCCATATGAAATTTTCTTCTCCATGTCGTACAAGAACTTTTCATTCAGTTATATTCCATTTTCAATAGGATATTCTGAAAAATTAAAGTTGTAAAGACTAATTCTGGTTTCTATTAAGTAATACTTTGTTTCAAGGTTAAAATATATTGGATCTTACAAAAGAAACTATTTTAGTGTTGAATATAAATTCCTTAAAGGCTTTTGAAGTCACATGATACTTCTGATGTATGAAGAAAAGACACATTTTACTATAGCTAATTCTGCTATGGAACTTTAATTCCAAAAGTTTCAGTTCTAGTTACACACTGAACTGGCTCCAGGAAATATTCATTCTAGCATGTAACAAATCAAATTCGTTGTAGACATCAATATTTTTATTGATCTCTTTCAACACTTTTAGTTTTATAGGGTTTCACATGATTAGCTATTATATTGTGTTATTCATCTCAAGGTCACAGAGAATACTATACTTTTTTCATTGGGAGATGCTGAGCTAACATTTCACAGAGGATATATTAAAATTTTATCCTAAACCTTCCTCTGCTAAAACAGGTAGGTATTTTATGTAGCAAGTTACCACATGAAAGCAATAGTTCAGTACAGCTGTTCACTAACCAAATGAAATTTTTCCTTCTTAATTTTACATTTCATAAAAATGAGCATATATTAGAATCGCTTTGCAGACTCTGTAGCTTACCATACTGTGTGCCATAGTTTCATTTTGCTTTACAGTGATAATGGTTAACTAAAGATGTTTCTGGTTTGAGAACATTTCCCTCAAAATTTCACACTGGTTTTAAGTTGTTTGAATCATAAAGACCAAATTGCATGCCAGAGATGTCAGTTGATTGTAATTTATAAGGCAAATTAATATTATATCACAGTAAATAATTAATTTTTCTCCACATTACTGCAAATCAAGAGGATACATTAAGTTGAGTTAAACAAAATAATAGACAATATTATAAAGCTGTATTGGAACAGAAATTACATTTTTTTTGCTATTATTATTTTTAAAATTTTGGTTCTCATGAAAACAAGCATTATATAGTTTTTAATGCATGCACTTTAGTAGCCTTATTACTTGTGAGAAATATTTCCTCCAAATGTTAAATTAAGGTCCACCTGTTTAGAGAATTCAACTGTTATATGTGATATTCAGTGATCATAGATAGTAAAGTTGAAGGGACTTTCCCAGTCTCTAGTCCATCCTCTCATTTATATACAAGAAAACACTACCTGAGGTGCTGTGCAACTTTGCAAAGTTACACACATAGTTAAGGATGAGTCTGGAATCTGGGTTTCCCTATGAAGTTCATTTATTTACCAGCTCCATGAGTGGCTCATTTATATTTTCAAACTAAGACTGTGAGATGAATTTTCTATCACATAAAGAAATGTGAGACACATGGCAATGGATTTATCAGAAATTACATTTTTTTACAATGTCAAGATAGTCCTTATCATTTAGAGACAAAATCAGAAGTGTCCAAGTAACTTTTTCTGAAGACAGAAGATAAGCTCACAGAGGAAAAAAATGTGACAATGAATATATGTATGTTCATGTGTAACTGAAAAATTGTGCTCTACACTGGAATTTGATACAACATTGTAAAATGACTATAACTCAATAAAAATGTTAAAAAAATAAAGACAGAAGATAAAAATTAGTTGTATTTTAGTCTTAGGGTATGAGGCATGCTGAGACACTACTGATGGGATTTTTTAAAAAGCAGTGCATGATGGTTTAATTAACGGCATTTTTTCCCTAAGTGGGACATAAAATAATCATTTATCCTAAGATTAATAGTACCTACATTGGTGGAAATCAAGATATTAAGCACCATTTTTTATAGAAGGAATTTTTATTTTAAAATACTGAAAACTGGAAATAGGAAGAGTTTAGTAAAAGGGCACAAACATTCAGCTATAAGGTGAATAAGACCTTAGGGATCTAATGTATAACATGGTGACTGTAGTTGATAACACTTTGTTATGTAATTGAAATTTTCTAAGAGAATAGAACCAAGTGTTCCCACACACACAAAAGATGAACAGGTGAGGTGGTGGGTAGGTTAATTACCTAGGTGAGAGGGCTCTTTTCACCATGTACACGTATTTCAAATCATCACAGTGTACACTTTAAATAGCTTACAATTTTATTCGTCACTTACACCTCAATAAAGCCAAAAAAAAAAAAACGCCAGAAAATTCTGCAGTTATACCAATATAAAATCTTTCAGGAATAAAGTATTTAAATTCCATTTTTATTTGGAAAAAGTATGATATAATAACTGTGGGGTGTAGTCTACTAATTCAAAGATTACTGTTAGTCTTGATTCCTTAATTTTGAAAAAATTAAAAAAATACTTAATGATATTAAAAGCCTATAAAATTCAAACAATTAATACACATATTCTTCTGCTCTGTTATTCAGAAATTTGATGAAAATCAATTTCTAATATCTCTTAATGTCTTTTAAAAAACATGAATTTGGGTTTACCAGGTTTGTACCTTCCAATTTGGAAAAAAAAATTATGCTAGAATTTTTTCCTGCATGAAAACCCCACAGTTCTTAAATATTTATTTAATTAAATTTGTAAAGTGAGAATAATGACAAATATAAAGTGTTAGTTTTCAAGTGCTTGCACATACAGTGTTTGGTGTTAATAATCAGGTGAAGGGTGCTAGGCAGTTACTACTATTTTGCGAAGTTACTTGTCCAGCCTAGGATAGCAACACTTCACAGGGAAAGGCAGAGGTGAAACCAGTGTTTTTCTAGCTTCTAGAAGGGTAGGTTAATGCTTGATTTTTCTCAGGGAAGCAGAAAAAATTACATTATATTGGAAACAGAATCGCCCATTCCAATAAAAATAATACCAAAAACAAAAAATGACAATGAATATATGTATGTTCATGTATAACTGAAAAATTGTGCTCTACACTGGAATTTGACACAACATTGTAAACTGACTATAACTCACTAAAAAGTGTTTAAAAAAAAAAAAGTCTAACAGTGGCTTGGCCTTGAATCAAAATGGCAGCAGAGATCAAAAGACAGCAGACTGAATGGAGACCAGATATTAAGGGTGAACTGATGCCTTTTCAGTGTGAAATCTTACTCACTTCCTACACTGTCTGTAGAGCTGTTGATGTAAATGGTTTAGCTGTATTAGGTATAGATGATGGGAAGGACAACGGAGTCAAAGGGAACAGTGTGTGAAAAGGCAAAGAAGGGGTAAGACTAAAGCGTGTTATGGGAGGAGTGAAGGCAGCTCTGTAGCTGATGCAGAGGGCTGGTGGATCTGGAAGGAAAGGTGGGGATAAGGCTGAAAGTGGGTTGGACAGACTTCTGAAGACCCATGGTTGCCATTTAGAAGACTTTGCATTTCACTTTTAAAAACTTGTTTATCAAATAATATACTAAAGAAGCGCTAAGCCTTGTAGGAACTAGGGTCTTCTTAGTTCTTATCACAGTGCTTAGGGTTTCAGTTAATTTTGTTGTATGAGATTAGTACATTTTGCACATAATTGGTCACTTGTGGTTAAAAAAGTTTTAAGTGCAATTCCCACTGTGGGAAGGATCAACTGGTATTAGATGGAACAGCTCAAAACAGTTCAAGGAGAAGGTGAATGCCGTGGGTGTTTGTTTTATCCTACACCAGCAGGATGCATCCTGCATCTCTGTGATGTCTGTGGGTTAGCACCTGCACTCTGACATGAACAAGAGGCACTGTTTACGACCAACAAGGGACAAGGATTAGTCAGGATAGGTGACTGTCCAATGAGAAATTGGATAGGGGGAGGGTATAGCTCAGTGGTAGAGTGCATGCTTAGCATGCACCAGGACCTAGGTTCAATCCCCAGATCTCCGTTTAAAACAAATAAACCCAATTAGCTACCCCCCAAAAAAATTTTAAAAAAGAAAGAAAGAAATTGGATAAAATGAACAAAGCCAGAGAAGGGTACTAACTTCACCGAGTGAAAATACACTGGCCTAGACTGAGCTAAGTTCTTCACTGAAGTATCTCATTGAAGCCGCACTAGAACCCTGTAAGGCAGACATTATTCTCTCCATTTCACAGATGACATGGCTAAGGCTGAAGAAAATTGTAAGCAAATGGCCACCAAAATGCTATGAAATGTCAAAACAAAACACAATTCCCCTTGTTAATTTTGCAAGCAAATACTAGCATTGAGTTATTGAAAACTAGAATTGATAACCTATATTTGATACTAAGAAAAGGTACCCCAGAGTTCAACTAGTGAGTTTTCTCAGTTTAAGATGCTATTACTGGATTTCAAAAGAAGAATTTGTATTTGGAAGGAAACAGTTTGAATTTATGAACCCTGATGATCCAATCTTACTGCATAGATCTGGGGGAGGCGCCTCACATTTGGACTCATGCTCCTGCTCTCCAATAAAGTGACTATCTCAGGGCAATACATTTTAGTGAGGGACACCAGCTGGGACAAGTTCTCAGGCTGTTCTCCTATAAAACTGCCATGAATAGGAGTCAGACTTTAAGATTTGATCCAAGTGACTCAGCTGTCTGTTGCTGGTGACAAACTCAGGAACTGGGCCTATCAGGTTTGGCTCCTATTGGTGAGCCAAGTTTCTTGACAATGTTTTTGGGAAAAAAGAAATAACAAACAAACAAACAATATTGTCAGGGAGGAAGGTAAAAGCTAAGTTATATATGAGAGTTAAATAGATTAACTTAAAAATTCGATTTTTAGAGGGAGAAATGGATAAAAGGGATCAACGATATGGTAATGGGTGGAAGCTTAATTTTTGGTGCTGAGCACGCTGCAGTGTAGACAGAATTAGAAACAGAGGGGAGATCAAGATGGTTGAGTAGGAGGATGTGGAGCTCACCTCCCCTGACAAACACATCAAGACCACTTCTACATAGGGAGCAATCCTCACTGAAAACAAACTGGGGACTGGAGAAAAACTCTGACACAACCAAAGCTCTAAGAAAGGTCCACATGGAGTTGGGCAGGAAGGGAAGAGAAGCGATCAAATCAGGACCTGTGCCTCTAGGAGGAGATGCAGAAGAGCAGAGGGATTACATGGGCTCGAAGATCTCCCCTCCCTGGGGGGTGAGCACGTTGAACCATATAGAGGGCACCCCAGCCCTGGGGTCAGACACCAGAGAAGTCCCTTGGCTGGTTTAAACCAGCGGGACTAACAGAGGACTGTAAGAGCCTAGACTTTGCTTGTGTGCTCATGTTTGCTTACTCCCCAAACAAGGCAGAGGAAGCAGATTGAAACTGCCTGGGATTCTGACTGGTTTCCTGCAACAGCCCCTGCAGGCACCCCAGCTAGAGCTGAATGCCCACTCAGGCCCCCCTGTTCTGCCCCAGCCCCACACTGGGATGAGGGCTCCACATGGCCAAGGGAGGTACACAGTTATGAGAGACTAAGTCAGCTCAAACCTGGCACAGCATCTGAAGTAATGGTAAATGTATTATACAGTAAAGGCTGTGAATCAGCCACCTAAACAAGCTAGTGTGAAGGTTAAAGGAAAAAAAATTATAAAGTCAACCAAAACTACAATAAGTAGTGAATAGATAAATGCAAAGTTGTAAGCTTAACAGCAAAAACACAAAATGTAGGGGAGGGGAGTAAAAAACGTAGCTCTTTTAGAATGTATTTGAACTTAGATGACTACCAGTCTAAATCAAGTAGATACAGCTATAAGTCAACATATATAACACATATATTTGTAGTTTCCCCATGGTAACTACAAATCAAAAACCTACAATGCAGACACAGAAACGAGAGAGAACGGAAACAAGAAAATTATCAAGCCACAAGGGAAGAAACTAAAAGAAGAAAAGAATAAAGAACTACAAAAACAACCAGAAAACCAGTAACAAAATCACAATAAATACTTATCAGTAGTTACTTTAAATGTCAATAGAACAAACGTATTCTAAGCAAAAGATATAGTGTGACTGTTTGGATTAAAAAAACAGGACTCATCTGTATGCTGCTTACAAGGTACTCATGTCAGAACTAAAGACGCAGAAAGAATGAAATTGAGGGGTGGAAAAATATATTTCATGCAAATGGAAATGACAAGAAAACTGGGGTAGTCATACTTATATCAGACAAAATAGACTTTAAAATAAAGTCTTATAATAAAGGAGAAAGAAGGGCATAATATAAAGATAAAGGGATCAATACAAGAAGAGGATGTAACGCTCATTAACATATCCACACTTAATATGGAAGCCTTTAAATAAAGGAAGTATTAACAGATATAAAAGAAAAAATTGACAATAATACAATAAATGAAGGGGACTTTTAACACCCCACTTATGTCAAAGAACAGATCGCCTAGACAGGAAATTAATAAAGAAATGGTAGCCTTAAATGACACGTTAAACCAGTTGGACGACTTAATAGATATCTATGGGGCATTCCATCCAAAAACAGCAGAATACATTCTTTTCCAGTGCACATGGAACATTCAATTTTATCACCTTAGATTTTTCAAGTTTGTAATTTTAACATACCACCTAGTTGAAACTTCTACATTCAGATACTCCATTCTCCTCAAGCTACGTTTACCCAAATTATCTTCCCTTCATTGATCTGAGCATGTGTCTCTCTCTCCCCCTGTGCCCCCTCTCCCCACTCTCCCCCTGTCCCTTTCACCCTTCCTCCCCTTCTCTCTCCCTCTCTTCCTTTCTCTGTATGAACACACTCATTTAGGGGGATAAATCCTACAGATTGCCCAATACATCAACTTTCCAATAACAGTGCTGGGAGAAATACTGTGAAAATGCTGGGGGATAATTTGTAGTTAATCATTCTTAGCTCTTTTTCCGGCATTATTTATCTCAGTGTGTGCCTAACAGTTTTCACTTTTTTTAAAGCCAACTTTAGAAATCTCAGTGTCTTGGACACAATTTAGACTGATCTCTTTGCTCTGTTGACAGGGAATTTTGAAATTTATAGACAAACATGCTGGAGTAAAATCAATTAAAATGCAGGTGATTAATTTGTGCTTCTGAAAAATATATTATGGTCTAAAGTGACATGATTTGACATAAACTGTCTTGAGATTACAATTTTTATTAACTTTCTAGTACAAAAGCACAATGAAAGATCAATCATCATTTTTCAAGACCATACACCTAAAACTACTATTTCACTTTGCAAGTTTTACCTAATGTTTATTTGAAATTATGTGCTACTTTATAAGTCTTTAATTTATTATTTATGCATTGTGCATAGTCTTTTTTAAAAAATTTGATGACAGTCCACTTTAAAAACTCCTTCTATGCATAAATAGTAATAATATGATGAATTCCTAAATTGTTGGCTTTGCTTGATATAAAGGTTTTATTAAAAACTTTATCTCTATTAACATTGTATCAAATAACATGAAATTCAATAACTGACCTACTCACATACACCAGAAAAAGATTGAAATCATTTAATGAATTGGAACAAGATCATGATTTACTAATAGAAATAATTATGCACAATGTGAAACACCTCCATTAACCACAAACTGCCACACCACACTACCACCATAAAACGGAAAACTGGCCCAGACATCCCAATTCAATAGCAGACTTTCTGATCCAACACTGAGACACTTGAGCTCAGAGTCTAAGGGCATTTGCAGTGCTGTTTGCTCGGTTTTTCCAAACCATCTCGGTTCTTGATTCCACATCGCTATTGTGTGGATCAAATAATCCCTGGTCACAAAAATATGCCCGGGAGTGACTCCTCTGGCGTCCAGGTTATGAGTGTGGTCAGTCATTCCACATGCCTTGGGGATGAGCTATCGTTACCATGATGAGAGATTTCCTTTTCAAGGTTTGTAATCCCCAAATACAAAATCTCAGCATCGATAAAAATCAAAGTAATTAAGAAAATGTATCTCAACCTTGCTCAGGATAGTACTGAAATTAGGCTTATCTCTCTCTCTCTCTTTTTTTTTTTTTTTGAACAAAATTAATACTTACCCGGGACAAAGAAAAACATTCAAAATATACTCTTAGACCTGCAAATATCTAATAGGCTGCTTCTTCAATGTGAACCACAATTAGACATTTAAAAATATAACTTTCACATGTGCACACTGGATACGTCCATTCTGTGACCCTCAGCGTGGGTCACTGCATTATACAATAACTTGGGAGGGGGAGGAAAAATACAAAGCAATTCTGGAAAACATTTTCTCCTCCTTTTCTTCCGATCTTTCACTATGTCTTGGAAAATGCGGTCATATGTTTTAAACAATATGACTCACTCTGTGTTCGTGGCCTTTCAACACTCTGGAATATTCTCGACTTTCCGTGAGCAGAGGTACAGCAGCTCACGGAGTGTCGCTAAATCAGCCCCAGGCTCCTGGCTCTGCGGCGACCTGGATCCAGACCTTCCCCGGATTCCCGAGACCCAGCCCTCTGCATCCCGCAGACCACAGGGACCCGCTGGCTTGCGGGATGCTGCTTGGTGTGGTTCCAGGGACCGGACACTGTCAATCTCTTAAGGATAACGGAGTCAGAGAACCTGCCCTCCGGCCTCCTTCTTCTCATCCTTTGCTTTTGGGATTTTACAAGTTGCCTGCAGAGAGTCAAACGTGGGTCAGGCAAACAAATGTGTTCTTTCCAGCCACCGTAACCGGATCGCTGGAGCGAAATAAACCCGCAGGAGCGTCCAGAGGCCGCAGCCCGACCGCCAGCCTGCGCTGAAAGCAACTTCTAAGCGAGGCTGCAAACGCCGCCGGGGTGCAGATTTTAGTCGGTGCCTAAACACAACCACGACAAGCCCATCTCCCCCGCCCCCTCCACACACACACACACACACACACACACACACACACACACACAATGCATGGATCGCGGAGGGTGGACAGGGCGAGAGCCGCTGGCATTTCTGCACGTCGGCACCGGGGTCAGAGAGCCCTGCAGCTTTAGCAGACGGGAGGGAGGGCTGGAGGGGCCAGGAGACTCGCTTCCAAGGGGGAGGAGGGGCTCCGCCCATCTCCCCCGATCCCAGCAGCTGTCCAGCCCTTGGAATTCATTGGCTTCCCCCACCCGCCTCCCAAATACCACCCCAATCCAGCTTAGCCCCCCGCCCCACCCTCGCTGACCGAATAAGGCCATGCAGTGTGTGGGGGGGGGACCTACATAAAAGGCCCGGGCTCGCCGGGACTGCGCGCGACGCCGCCGGGGACAGAAGGCAGCCGCCGTCCAGCGCCCACAGGGAGGACCATGGCCAAGGAGTGGGGCTACGCCAGCCACAACGGTGAGCGAGCGGGGGCGCGGCGCCGCGCAGGGAAGCGAAGCGGGCCGCTCGGGCGGGCGAGGTCGCCGGAAGATGAGGGCGGAGGGGTCGAGGGAAACCAACACTTACCGAGCACTTTCCAAGTGCCACCGCCCACCCCCGACGCTTTGCCCTCGGTCTCACTCCGTTCTCCCTGGTGTGGAGCGGCATTACTCCCCGCTGGAGGGAACCGCAGCGCAGGGAGGCTCGGGCACTTGCCCGGATCACACTGCCTCCGACTGAGAAGTCAGACCACCGAGGTCCAGGTCTGATTGTCCCCTGCCCCGTGATACCGGGCAAGCGCTTAACCTCTCTGAGCCCGGTGTCAGTATAAACCGCTCTGCCTGCAGCCTCTGCCTAACCCACTGCAGAAGGAAAATGGGCATGCTTTGAAATCCACGTGGCACTGGTAAAACGTGATGAGGTCCATTTCAAAAATAAGCCTTGAGGCTATATGCTTGACAGGGGGCGGAAATAAACTGAGCTAAACATAGTTTTCAGGTACACCATTAACAAAACGATGAACAGATCTTAAACACTGAGACTTGCATTGCCCAATCTGAAATCCAAGACCTTTGATAATCACTGCCTAGCCTCTGTGTGTTTTTCTGGTTCAGTCAATTAAAAGAGGGCTTGGGTGGCGCCACCAAATAAATCAATGCCCTCAATTTGATTTCCTAGGTCCTGACCACTGGCATGAACTTTACCCCATTGCCAAGGGAGACAACCAGTCGCCCATCGAACTGCACACTAAAGACATCAGTCATGACCCCTCTCTGCTGCCATGGACAGCAGCTTACGATCCCGGCTCTGCCAAGACGATCCTGAACAACGGGAAGACCTGCCGGGTTGTGTTTGATGACACTTATGATAGGTCAAGTAAGTATGACACTTAAGTAGAGACGTGTGGACATTTTTAATGTCCATGCTGGCAAAATGTGATTTATGACTGCGGCAGCTGCATTAGTGGGAAGAGGGGTCACTTCTTGTCTGAGAATGGAGATGACGTTTGACTGTGCTCTAGTCATGGAGGATTCTGTTTATGCATTGAATAGGAATGTCTCACTCTAACCCTGGTCACTTTGCTGCTGCAAAATGGCCCCAGGCCCAAGCTAAAAGTTGGCAATGCACTCCTGAGATTAAGTTGGACAGGTTGGTGAGTAATGAGTCCAAAGGAGTGTTCTTCAGGCTCTCATGGTCTACACCTGAGGGGGTTTTTGCCTCTTAACCACGGCCTGGAGAGCAAGGCTCCCATTCCCAAATGT